ACACCCAGAGGCCTGCTGCCACCTGCCAGCTCCCTTAAGGTTCAACCCGATAAAGCCTCATGTGGTACGAGTTGGGTGAGGCAGCGTCTCAGGGAGTCACTAGAGTGGGAAGAGTTGTGGTTACCAGGTTAATGTAGACTCTGATTTGGTCCCAGTGCTGAGCCTGGAGCTACTCAGCAAGTCTCAGAGCACACTGTGGCCAGTTGCTGCCTGCCTGGGGCCTGCTGGACTCTGATAGTTTTCCAAGAAAGAGTGCAGTGTGGAAGGGGCCGGCTGCTCGAGGAGAAAGTGCCTCCAGCTGTGCGCATGTTGGGTGAGGCAGGGTCCCAGCTGAGTCAGCAGGGCGGAGCAGTGGAGCTCACCAGGCCAATCGGGTTCAGATTTGGCCGTAAGCGTAGTGGGGCGGGCTCAACACAGGAAAGATGGCACTTGCCTGCTGGCTGCACGGGAGGACTCCTCACAGGGAAAATGCCAACAGTCCTCCAGTCCTCCCCTTGAAGGCACACGCCTCAGTCTGCCCCCCTGTATGCCTCCGACACCTCCTGAGTCACTGTCCCTCAGCTGGAGACCAAGGTGAGTGCTTGCGAGCGAGTGTCTGTGCGCCGGCTGTTTAAGAGGACACCTGGGTTTCCTGCTGCCTTCCATCCCACCCGGATGGTGGAAATCCCCACTGTTTTTCACAGCCAGATGTGGGGGCTCCTTTTCCCGGCACCAGTACTCTGGGCTGAGAGCCTGGTGTAGGGGGCTGGGGTCCCCTGCTCCTCTGGGGGGAACCTCTGTGGCCAAGGTATCCTTCCTGGCTCTCAACTGCCACAGGGAGATTTGGGGCCCGTTATGCGTCTCCACCCCTCCTACCAGTCTCCACGTGCCTTCTTTATATTTTTAGTTATAGGACTTCTGTTCGGCTAAACTTCAGATGGTTCTCCAGGCTGATCATACTATAGTTATAATTTTAATGTGTTCATGGAAGAAAGCAGGCCCAGTGTTTACCTGCTCTGCCATCTTAGATGTCTTCACAATCATTGTACTGTTTATCCCCCTCCTTTTGGGACACACATGCCCCACATTCAAGCAGTTGTCACCTCCTATTTACCACGCCCACCAGGATGTCATTATCTATGTAACAGACCAGCATGTTTGTGGAATGACAAGACCAATGTCTGCACCAAAATGGTCATGGGGATGTAAAGTACAGCGTGCAGAATATACTCAAGAATAAGGTGATAACCGTGTGAAGTGCCAGGTGGGCAGTAAACTAGTCAGGGGGATCACTTCTAGGTGAAGGGGAATAAGAGGTCCAAATCTCCAAGTATAAAACAAATAAGTCATGGGATGTAATGCACAGCATGGGGAATACAGTCAATAATATTGTGGTAGCGTGGGATGGTATCAGATGGTTGCTGGACTTATGTTGATCACTTCTTTAGGTACATAATACTGTATGTTAGCTATATTTTAATAAAAATCTTTTTATAATGCATTGTACAGCACAGTGATTATAGTTAATAATACTATGTTACATACTTGAAAGTTGCTAAGCGTCGATCTTAAATGTTCTCATCACGAAAAAGTAATGGTGATTATGCGACACGATGCAGGTGTTAGCTAAATATGGTGGCAACCATTCTGCCATCTGTAATTGCATCAAATCAACGTGCTGTCCACATTAAACTTACACGATGTTGTAGATCAATTATATCTCAATAATGCTGGAAAAAAATCTAAAAAGTATTTGACCTTAAACCACTAAAATAAAAAAGAAAGAAAAGCAAGCACTTGCCTCATCAGTACACCACCTATAATTTCGAGCTCCTCTCCCTGTGTCTCCTAGTAAACGTTCCATCTGGCACCACACTGCAATTGGGCTATGACTTGATTACATTTTGAGCAGCACACTGTCATCTGTGGTGACCATCTGGCTTTGCAGGGCCAGCCTGGTGCTCTAGACGGAGATGTGATGGAGACCAGCACTGCCACAATCTTTATCTTTGAGGGTGACATTAATCTTTATAATTCCACCTGAGTGACAGCTGCTCCCGACTTACTACCTGGGTAGCCGTTTCAGAGGCTTCTGCTTGGCCCTTTCTCCACAGCTCAGAGAACCATCCCGAATATGAACTCCGGGATTGGGGAAATGACTACAGGGTGGGTTCTCAAGGCCACTGGTTCCCATTTTTTGGTTAAAATCCATCAATACTCTCATTGTCTACCCAGCTGTCTCACCCTGGCCTATGACCCAGGGCCCCAGAGCCCTGTATGAGAAAGCCCCATGGCTGCTCCAGCCTGTGAACCTGTGCTTCCTGTTCTGTAGCAGTTCACTGCCACCCCACTGGGGCTCTGCTATCCTGGAATCCTATCATCATCGATACATGCAAGTCAGATTCCTTGCTGTCACTCCTGGCTGGGGGCAGCCACTACGGAGCTCTCACTGACTTAGGACCCACCCCTTTGCTTTAGCCAAAGGGGTGTCCTCACTGTAGGATTAGTATAAGGATTAGCATCCTTAGAAGAGATCCCAGAGACCTTGCTCTCCCTACGCATGCACCAAGAAGTCATGTGAGCATCCCGTGAGAGGGTGGGCACCTACAAGCCAAGATAAGAGGCCTCAGAACAAAACCCACCCTGCTGGTTTTTTATCTTGGACTTCCCCAGGCCCCAGAACTGTGAGAAAGAAGTGCCCGTTGTTTAAGCCATCTATGGTATTTTGTTATGGTCACCTGAACTAAGACAAATGACTGCTTAAAACAAAATATGTATGTTGGGTTTATCATGTATATAAAAGGAAAATATGACAATAACAGCATGAAGTTTGCGGGACATAAATGGAGTATCAACTACCTTTTGATTAGTAGTCAGATAGTATGCTTTTCCATCCTTTTAAAACTCTTTCTGTATCCTTATATTTTATATTTATCACTTATAAGCAACATGGTGTGTTTTTTTAGACCAGTCTGGCAATCTTTGCTTGAATTGAATCATTTGTTCATTTACATTCAATGAAATAGTTATATTTAGGTGTAAAGCTATTGTTTTATTATTTGCTTTTCATTGTCCCATCTCCTATGTTCATCTCCTTTTTTGCCTTTTGGATTATTTTTTAAATGTTCAGTTTTCCCCCTCTTAGCTTATGGACACTTGCTATTCTTCAAGTTTTACTCTAGAGAAAACTTGACTTATCAAAGTCTCATTTGGAGTGGGAGTTTCATTTGTTCTGGACAAGCCAAGAATTTACATAACTGACTTGGAGTCAGGCTTAATCTCACAATCCCTCGGAACACTGTTCCCGTCATAGCTTTTCCCTCCGGTTTGGCCTTTCCAGTATTCTTCACTCCTGCTGCCTCTGTGAACTGCCTTCCTCCTGAGAACACCCTTCAGAGTGTTCTTTCATGCTGGTCTGTTGGTGATGCCTTATTTTTTGTTTTTATTGGTCAGGAAGTGTCTTTACTTTCATTCTTAAAGGACATTTTTGCTGAGTTCAGAATTCTAGGTTGGTAGTTATTTTCTTTCAGCATTTTGAAGGTGCTTTCCATTGCCTTCTCACGTGCAGGGTTAACATCAGTCAGCTGAATATCTCATTGCTGCTCCTTTTAAGGTAACTTGTTTTTTTCTTTGCTCAAAACTTTTTCTGTCTTTGATTTTCAGCACTTTTACTATGGTATGTTTAGGGGTGTTTTCATTTTATTTATGCTGTTTGGTGTTTGTTGAGCTATTCTGGTTGTTCTTAGCAGAAGTATTGGTCTGAATTACATGTTTATTATGAAATTCCTGCCATCAGTACTTGGTTTAAGCACTCTGCAATCAATACTTGGTTTAAGTACTCACCAGGTATATTTAACCGATGTTGTTAACAATTGTCGTCTAACATACTACTGAAGCTCTACTGATTATTTCTCCTTCAAATATTTTCTGGAATAAACAACCAAAGGCATATAGAATTGATTCTGAAGTAGCTACTAATGGCCATTTCTCACATACACAGTTCCTGCCAGCTCTGCTCATGCCTGGGCATTACTTACCCTTGCTGCTGCTGGTCAGGCCTAAAGAAGCCTCTAAGCTTTGCCACAGTCCATGTGGACCCGATCAAATATGCATACAATATACAAATAATTGTTATTTATTTATTTTGAATAAAAAAGTGGCCAAGATAACAATACTAGTGGCTCTGCATACAAAACACAAGATATTCAAAGTTATTTCACATTTACAAAACTGCCATTATGTACAGCACTGGATAGTCACAGCAACTTTATTAAACTCTAAGGACTAGAATCATATGAGCAATCGAGGGGCATCCAAAATGGGAGAAAGCTAAAAACCAGTGGTCTTTCATTAAATGGATAGCTGGCCAACCAGCTAACTGGTAAAGAAACAGAGGATCTGTTAACCCTTTCTTTACTAATAACTAAAATAAGATTGCCCCACAGGACTGTACACTGACAAATACCCTCAAAATTTCCATTTTATTTTCTCTGTAATCTTCCCCACTTCAAACATTCCCAGAAACCTCTGCCCTAATATTAGATAAAAGCTCAGGACACTGGTATGTTATCTTCAGGAAAAGAAGGCTAAATAGTCTAAGGATATGGCATTGTCAGGTTCAACCCTAGAAACTCAGTTCAAACTCAAGAAAGAAATCGACCGTCTCCTGGTCATTAGTTCTCTGCAGTTTGAACACACTGGAAAAAGTGAACCATGCTTTGTCTTAAAGGTGGCAGGAAGCTATTCACTCGTCCTCCACATCATGAGCACCGTTTCTGTGCAAGGCACTTGACATTAGGTGCCACGGGAACTACCGAGGTGACACAGACAGTCCCTGCCCTTGAGGAGCTTACAACCTAATACTGACACTATGTACATATCTACAGTGGAGAGGCAGCTGGCTTTTCCGGATGGGAGCACTCCAAGCAAAATGCATTCTTATTCTTGGTTATTTTATTTAAACATTAAAAGTCTATATAACACACCGCCTAAACCAATGGCAAAAATTAAAAACCATCTCCTTTTTATAGCAAGTTTTTAGATGCCTGTTCTTTTTATTTCAAAAAAATGTCATATGTAAACATACATAAATTCAAAGCCAAGCACAGAGATTAGCACAGGCATTGGGTAAACAAAATATATGTCACTATACACAACACAGACTTATTTTTCTATACAGTCCTATTTCTGTATAAACAAGTGTGATGTTCATTTTCCTTTCATACATTAAAGTACACATTGGAATCAAAGTCTCAAAAAAGACATCATTCATTTTTGCATATAATTCTGCATTAGTACCAAAACAAAACAAAATACCCCAAAGCCTACCAGTCTATTAGGCAAATGCACAACCCATGAAGAATGAAACGCCTCGAAGCATCACACTTTTTACACCGTCCAATATGACCACTTTATAGGGCCTTCTTATGAAAGTAACAGGGTTTCATGATGGAGAAGTAGGCAAATTTTTACCTTAGAAATAAACATAACATTTCGAGTTCTGAAATTTAGTTCTACCCGACCCACTTACAATAGTGTCAGCGTGAGAATTTCAGCTTTCCCTTTTTCAACTCCTCCCAAGCCTGCAATGAATGAAAACACCAGCACGTTGGTAATCCATGTAATACTGCTCTAAATAAACTCCCTGACTAGGACCTTGGATTATATACTAAGTCTCTCTCCTAGAGTAGTTAGAACTCAAAGAAAAGGCAAGATAAGGAAAACCGAATCACCTCGTTTGGTAACGAGGTTGGGGGAGAAATATTCATATACCAAAAGGATCAACTTCTTTACAGGAAATCTTTATCAACAGCCGCTCCCTGTTAAATTTGCTGATTCCCACACCACGTTTTCAGAAACGGCCCCGTCTTAAAACAAACTCCATCTATCTATGCACATGAGAGGTTGCAGCGTCCTCCAGACCAGACCATCCGGTGGGCCTGGTCCTGGTTGACACCTGTGCCCTGGACATGTGCTCACCATCACCTCCTGCAAAGCCTGCTGCTTCATCAAGACTGTGATGCAACAGTACTTCCGCTCACCAGAAGCAACGCTCTATTCTGCAAATTTGACTTCATTCCATTTAAGACAGTCAAATGTCCCATGCTCTATAATCAGTCGGAATAGCAGATATCATGTTAGCAGACGTGAAGATCTTAACTCCAGAAACCCTTTCAGCTTCAAGAAAGAACAGTTCAAGTTTAACTGGGACTCAAGACACAGTCTAAACTGCTTCAAGCTGCAGCTGACACTCCCACTGATAACTAAAGTGAAAGCAGTTCACATCAGTCAGACCTTTCAGAGGCATGTTTAAAATCTGACGACCTTGAGGGCAAAGGGTAGATTCCTGAGACGTGGCAGGCGCCCTGCACTGCTGTGTGCCACCAGCAGCCAGCAGGACGGTCTCAGAGCACAGAGATGCATTCAGAATGAATTACGGAGCCATGCGGACCCCAAGAAGGCCCTGGTGGGCTCATTGGAAAGACATTCATTTAGCTGGGCTGCTGTTTGTGCTGCCCAATCTCTAGAAGCAAAAAAGGTTAGAATATACTTTTCCCTTAAAAATTTAGGTCTGCTGACTTTGAATATAACATAACCCATTCAGCTAGTCTTAACCAGAAGTTTTGCTGGTCAAGAATAATATTCGTTGGGTGGGAGGTGGCAAGGAACGAAAATCTAGCCTCCTCTAGCCCAAATCCAGCCAAGAGTTACTGAACACTCTGACAGAAATTCCAAACCGTTGTGAAGGAAACCAGATACGGTTCACCACGTCAACAAGGAACCACAAGAAACAAAAACTACTTCTAGGAAGGGAGACCCAGGATGTGATGTAGCTTTTAGGAATTTTAGCACTTATCTATTTTTCTTTCAAACATGAAATCTGTTAGCTCTGGATGTGTCGTAAAGCTGGGAGAACTAAGGGACTGGAATCAAGAGGACCTGTCCAGTAAGGAACAGTAAGCGAGTGAGACGGGGGCAGGTAGGGAGAGGGAGGGCGGTCAGGAGCAGACAGGATGAACCGGCCCTGGGAAAATCGCCCAGCCAGGCGAATTCCTGGTTTCATTCCAGGAACTGCAAGAATTCACCAAACTCCACAGCAGGAGGTCTGCTGTTGGGGGAGCAGGTGCTCCATAAAACCAGCACCATGCTCCTCTTAACAAGCACCGTCCGATAAGCATCGATTTCTTCCGCACCTTATCTGATACCATGATGATTACAACAAAATAGATTTTAATATTTAATTATTACCTTTAACATTCTTTTAACCTGTGGAGCTCACTAATAGGTCTAACCTACCAGCTTCAACAGTAACATTCTCAAAAACTTCTTAAGAGGGAGAAGCAGAAAAATGTCACAGTCAACTAAGAGCTGTGCCAGTGGTTCTAATAACTTTCTGACATTGAAAAATAATTGGTAGTTCTGGCAGATATAATAGTAGGTAGAGATTGCTTAAAATCTGGGCGGTGGACACAAGAGGATTTCAGAATAAATATCAAGCATAATAAGCTATCAATTTCTTATCTAGAATAATAGGAACAAATTAACCCTAGGCAGAAACAATGTGATTCAGGTGTGGGTATCAGACTCCCAAAATGCAACTGTGTTATAGCTTGAAAGGTCTCACTGCATAGAATCTGCCCCTGGGCTTCAATGCGGCCATTCCTGAAACAGTTCTTACAGTGACAGCTGAAACCCACTTGAAACCCCTGAGCAGCTCAGGCAAAATGTCAGGGAGGCAGCGAGGGTGTGATCAGTTGAAATGGGGAGAGGCGGTTAGTCTGAAGGTGCCCAGTCTCAGCCCCACCTTTGCAGGGTTTCACTGGTCAGCGCTGTCATCAAGGAGGCCGACCCTTAGTGAAACGCGCAGTGCACTGTTTGTGGCGCTGCCCTTCACATGGAGTCTCCCGTTCCCACAGGTCAGCAGATTAGCCTCCAAGGGTGGGGCCGGGGCAGGAAAAGGGGGAGGGCCTCCCAAATGGGCCTGTGGGACTGGGCTGAGGCAGGTGTTGGTCGGCTTTCAGAGTCTTTAGAACCCACTGGGTCCAGCCCTCTGCACAGAGAAGCCATGTTCTAGCAAAGCAATTGCCATGTTTATTTCTGTACAGACATACAGAATAATCTGGAAGAGCCTCTTTAGTAACTCTTAAGACTGAAATTTCCCCTAAAATGCACAACTGCTTTAAATAGAAACTTAATGTAAGTTTTACATGGGAGCAGCCATGTAAACATCCTCCAATAAGAACAAATCAACTGCTGACTGATTAGGAACAAGAAACTAAGCAAAACTAAGCTTTCCATGATTATTAAAACTGCAGTATTTCCTTGACATTATTCCAAACTTACTGTCACAGTCACTGTAAAGTGAAACAGCTACACGCACAACCAACAACAACGACACGACTGTCTGACTTGTGTTACTCATAATTTCAGTGCTGGCTGTGTCTCCTTGAAAATCCGTTTAACGGGCTGGACCCTGAAGTCTGGATGAACCAAAGTGAGAGAGAGAAGCAGAGGACTCCAGCAGATACGTAATTAAAGGTTAGAGACAAACCAAATTCTGAATAGAAGAAAAGACATTTCAGTGAAGACTGGAAGTGCTTGCTGGGGCTCTGTCCCCACTCACTACTCACTACACAAAGGAAAGACCAACACACGTGCGGCATGTTTCTGTTACAGTGTTACCCAAATAGCAAGCCTTTCTAAAGTGAGGACAAAATGTCTTTCATGACGGATACAAAATAAAAGCAGGAAATTGTGTTAGAATAAAGGCAAAATAGATAGCATGTAGCTGAGTTAGAATTTCACATTTTGTATTTCCCATCCCACTTCCCAGAAATGTGCACCATTGAAAATGTGTGCATTGCAGCACCAATCCCTAGGGTACTTATTTTAAAATCCCCAAACACTGTAATTCTAGAATGTCTATTTTTTACTTTAGGGTTGAAGAGCAGTGAACATCCAACATCTCTTAACAGCCCACAGAAAATACCTGTGTCATAAATATCAAGGACCTTTGAAAGAAGAGTCCCAGGCTCTGCCACTGAGCCGCACACACCTGGAGCACCTCTGAGTGGCGTCTCTTTCTGGAAGCTTCTAGGTAGACTCTGCACACTTCTATACAGGATATAAATGAAACGCCTGGAAATGTCAACATTAAAAATACTCAGTTTTAATTTAATACTAAAAGGAGAAAATATTCTTTTTCTTCTATGTACAAATAACTCATCGAGGGTATCACAGTTGAGTCTGAGCGGGGACGAGACACGGTGACACAGGTGACATGGGTGACCGGAGTACTCAACATCCTTATACATATTTAGGAGTTGGGGCAGGTAATCGGTTGACATGGCAGAGTATTAAAAATAAGTCACAATTATTAACTTACATGAGTCACCTGACCTTTTGACACATTAAAACCAATTTTGAGTCTTGACTTCAGCCTCTTAAAAATATAGTTTTAGGAAAATGTTTTCAATATGCAGGAAAAACAAAGATCTGCAGCTGCTTGCTGGGAACAAAACAGGCCCACGCGTGTAGACACTCACTGTCTGCTCTGGTACACTGACTGCCACGGAGCCCAAAGGCAGGTCCAGACCCAGGTTAGGACTAAAGCCTAACTCAGCCCAGCAAGACCCATGTCCCAACTCTCTAGAAGAAAGCCTTCTGTCCCTAGAAATGACAGAGCATTTGTTCAAGCTGCTTCAAGTGAAGACACTGGAAAAACAAGCATTCGTCACTGGGTGAGCCGTGGGGCTACCATCCACCCCCAAATGACTTCAGTCTGCATCCCGTCACTTAGTCCCGGATCCACAGTGCATTTCCAAAATGAGTTCTCAGGCCCCGTTTACAATCGTGAAGAGCCTCTCCACGCGTGGGGGCCAGGCTTTCAGCACATCCCGCCTCTTCAGGCAAGCGGGGTTTTCTGCAGCGGAGTGCAGGACCCCCCATCTTCCCCCCGCCGTGCTCAGAACACAGGAGAATCGCAGAAAGGGCAGGGGCTCTGCAGTAACCTCTTAATCCAGTCGGGATCTGCAAAAAGAACACAAGTGTGTGGAGCGTTAGCTTCAGAAAAGGCAGCCAATGGGATGCGCTGAGGATGGACTGCAGTGGCAAGAGACGGGCATCGGGGTCCCGCTGTGTCCTGGACAAAGCGCCTCACGCCAACGCTCCCCACGACGCCGGACTAACTAAGCCTGTGGGTCCCAGAGCTAAGTGTGCAAGGAACTCTCCTTCTGTAACGAAACAGGAAAATAAGGGACTGAATGAGTGTTTCATAAAGCTAGACTTACTCAATTTAAAGGACTGTATTTCTCTGAGTGTATCCTTCATATACTGTTAATGTTAAATATGCTCTTTCATAAAATCATGGTACTTATAATTTTTTTTAAAATGCATTATGCGGAGAAAGAAAAGTGTGGCAACACCTTCTCCCCCTTTGAAAACCTCCCTGTCTGTGAAATGCTCTTCTCACTGCTCTCTAGACCCTGCAGGTTCTCGTTCTCCACTCAAAGCCACCTGGCAGGTGTGTGCACGTTTTTAATTTGTTTCAATCTTGTCCTCCTTTCCTGACTAAATAGTAGACTAATTTTCAATTGCAGTGGGTGTTTATAAATTCCCCCAGATTTGTTTCAAAGTAATCCAGTCAGAAGAGGGACGTGGGTGGGGCCGACGGATGAAACATGAAAGCCTGTGAGCTGGCAATTTCTGCAGCTGAGGGATGGGCGCCTAAGGGCTTATCACACTCTTTTCTCTACTTTTATGACTGCATTTTCTGTAACAGAAAGTATAGACAGAACACAAGCTGCCAACACACCAACTTCTCAGAATTAGAAGGCGTCAGCCAATTAAGATCAAAAATCAAGAATAAGGGTGTAGTTGTATGTAGAATGTTTTTTCCTCGAGACCAGATTTCCCCCCAAACATGTATATAATTGTACACGCTTGGGTCCAGGTAGCCCATTTGGTTACAGTGTGATGTTCACGAACCTCAGGTCCTGAATTTGACATTCATGTCTACTCACGTCACTAATTCCTTGCCCACATCTATGATCTTATTTCCAACTAGTCCTCTCAGGAACGTGGGCTTTGTCCCCAGGGCTACCAGCAAAGATAGGGACCAACAAGAAACCCCATCATGGCTCCAGAGACAATGACCCCCGTTACCGGCTTAGCAACACTGTCTTTGTGTACTTATACTTTGAACACGACATATTCCAGTCACCATCTTTAATTTGTGTGGCTTCGTGATGATGCTATAAGAGCAGGACAAGCCTGCTCACCATCCCTGGTGGCCTGAGCCTGACGCAGTCACCGGTCTAGGGCACTGGCCCTGGGCCGGCACGCGCCATCTCACCCGCCACACCTGGGACAGCGCTCACCTTCGGGGACGGGATGGCGGGCAATGCTGTCATGCAGCAGACACCTTCTGTATATCAAGCTCTGGCAGGACTGGTAGGTTAAGAAGCACCTGAAAAGAGGCAGAGGGTATCGTCAGTTCCACCCACGCCTGGAAAGCAGCACAGTGTTGAGGGTTATTCCAAAACCACGCAGCAAGGAAGGGCACAAACTGTCCCCAAATTCATGGCAACAACGTCCTCCTCTCACACTGAAGCTGCCCAGACCTGCATCACCCACAGTAAGGGAAGCACAGAGACGCGAAGTTTCTAATCCAGTCACGGCAGCTTCTTTCTCGCTGTGTTTGCTGCAGTTGGAAAGAATCCGGTCTGTCCATACCTGACTGTACTTTGAGTGATTGGTATGTTAAAAAAATGGACATACTATTGTGAAAATGACTTTTGTTAGTGATTTGTAAGATCAGGAATAAGAACCTGACAGTACAGTGGGAAAAACCTGAAGATATTGATATAGAAGACACAATCAATGGTGCAAAAAAAGAAGGGACAAGAACAAACATTCAGAGGTTCCATTCCCTCCATGACCCTTCACTGAGCATCTACGGGGCAAGTCAGGGACGGCGGAGATGCGACAAAATGGGAGTGTGCACCTGGGCTCTGCGGGGACGGTTTGCCCCAGAGTATCCAAGGAGCAAAGAAACACAAGGAGGGAGGGAGGCTGGAGGAAAAGACTCCAACTAGGTTCGCTCTGGGTGAAGACTTGGGTATCCAAAAGGAAGCTTACACCCGAGGGAGTGCAAGCACCCGTTCTCAAGTGGAAAAAGGATACAGGATATTCTGGCACTAACTTCAATCAGCAAAACTGAAACTAACTTTGGTGACAGACCCATGTGAGAGACAGTAATGCATGGTGGCTACACATGTGAACTCTGGAGCCAGAATGCCAGGTCTAGCTCTGTCACCAATTACCTGTGTGACTTGGAGCAAATTATGGAACCTCCCCAGGTGCCCGTTTCCATCTGTAAAAATGGAAATGATCGCAGTGCTGCCATCATGGCTGCTGTGAGGCTGCAGTAACGCAGGAGCCGGGTACTCTCAGAACAGAGCCTGCCACACTGACGGCGCTCCGTGCATGCCAGCTATTATTATTACTGCAAGCTCGTTTCCTACTCTCCCCGAGAAAAAGCCCGAACAGTCAAATTAGGAAAGGTATAGGAATGCAATAAAAACTGGAACAAATCCGAGTATCCATCCACACAGTGGAAAAGTCTACAGCCGTTAATGTTGGGATCTACGTACAGATGTGGAAAAGTGTCCACAATGTATTTCGGGAAGAGAAGTGGCAAGTTGTTAAGGGAGAATGTGCAGCACAGCCTTGTTTCTGTGAAAAATAAATCTTAAACGTTAACTGGTGCCTATCCCCATTGCAGGCATTGCTCTAGAAATAGCCAGGAACAAAACAATAAAACTCCCCGTGCTCAGGGAGCTTTCTATCCCAGAGGAGGGAGGGAAACAAAAAGTCAAAATTATAATGTTAAATGGTGGTAACTGCTAGGGAGGAAGGCAGAGCAGGGACGGGGATGGAGAATACTGGCAGAGGAGGAGTGTCAGCAGGCAGTGCAGGCGGACAAAGGGACACCTGAGGGAGCCACGTGGCCACCTGCTGAGAGAAGCCTGGCAGAGAGAACGCCAGTGCAGACGTCCACAGGTGGCAGAGGTGCCTCTGTACCTGAGCACAGTGAGGCCAGTGCATGGGGTGGGGGGAGCGGTGAAGTGAGCAGGACAGAGACGGGGTGGGGGCTGGGCTGTGTAGTCCTCATCACAGAAAGGATTTTCGCTTTTCCTCACCAGAAATGGGAAGCCACCAGAAAGGCCTGAGCAGAGGGGTGACATGCCCTGACAAAGCCTTAACAGGATCACAGCCATGGCTATACTGAGAGCAGACTGGAGGGGACAAGGATGGAAGTATGAAGACCAGATAACTATAATCACCTGGGCAAGAGATGATGGCATCTTGGACTGGCAAGGAGGGGGAGAGAAAGGTTGGATTCGAATCTGAAATGCCTACGAAACTTGCAAACAGATACACTGAGCAGATGGTTAGATATGTGAGTCTGAACTGAGGGGGAGAAATTCAGGCTAAAGCTATACGTTTTAGTCACCAGCGTAGATGATTTGTGGCTGCAAAGGAGTGTTGACAGAAGAAAACCAGGTCCAAGATGGACGTCAAGGAGAAGCAGACAATGAAGAACGAGGCAGGAAGAGAAGCAGCAGAACGGTGCCCAGGAAGTCAGGGGATCAAAGAGAGGAGGAGGGAGATGTCTACCTTTTATTATAAAGCTTAAAAAAGTACACAAGCACTTTTATATTCCACTAACTTCGACAGGTTTTGCTTTTGTAATAGTAATTTTTTAAAATTTAAGGCTACTTAAAGAAACTCCTATGTATCAAGTAGTAAAACACTGTCACTAAAGGACGTCTTGCTTTAGTCAGGCTGAAGACCAAAGGCCGTGCCGGGTTGACTAATGGCAGCTTTTCTCCAACCTAACGGCACGGCAACATCTGCTTTGGACAAACACTTTCTCTGTGGTGCTTGGTGCCAGACAAAGCGGAAAACTGAGCAGTAGGTCTGACTTCCGAGGGCTTACCGGAGCCAAATGTGGCCATTGGAACACACTGCCTGTTTGCGATCCGTGAACGGCAAGACCTCTTTACACAAACTACAGTGCTCAGGGAAAGTCTGTTTGTTCATCTTCTTCGAGATGTGTCCAATCAGCACCTGGAAGACAAAGTGGCAGCCATGTTAGGGGAGCGCGCAGGGCTTCCGGAGGAAAAGCCTGCGGCTCAGAGGAGAAAGGAACGATGCAGCCCAGCATCTCCATCACCGTCTGAGAAGTGAAACGACCTTCACCGTGTGCCAACTGCTCGAGTAAAACAAACTCATTCGGGGACCCTGTGACAGAGGGTGACTGCTAACGGCAAAACTGTGCTGAAACCCAAAATCTTGTTACTTGCCTTGTTTTAGTTGCTTCTGAAACAAGGACTTCAGAGTTCTGTTAGAAGACAAAGTATTTAGCTATTACTTACAACATTTTGATTTTAAGAAGGAAAAGCCTAATCTCTATGGGCAAAAAATTACGTGAAATACTAACTTTGTAGAATTGTACAAATGTCTGTTCAAGAAAGGCTTACAAAGTAAAAAGATAATCAGGATTAAAAATAGTGATCTCCCCTTTGGATGGCCCAAGGACCCACGACTGGCCTAGTCAAGCAGCCTGCGCCTGAGCCCACGGATCCCACGCAGAGGCGTGGCAGGACCACTGTGGGAGTGGGGAGGGGCAGCGAGAGGCCCACAGGCTGGCCAGGCTGGCTCAAGGTCTTGTCCCAGTTTCAGCTTCACTTTTCTCTGCTTCGTGTATTAGGATAACACGATTTTAAAAATAAAGTCTGGAAAACGCTGATCTGCTTCACCATTTTGCTGGAAAACCTTCACTGGCTACATCACTGTGATGGGGTATGAAGCACCTTGTCTTACTAGCAGATAATGTCCTCTGAAGCTGTCCGTCCATGTACGCGATGGCTCTAAGCCTGCCACTCACTAAGACCACACCCCTGAAGTGGGGACAGCTGTCCTTATAGCCCAGAAGGGGAGCTTACCTGCTCTGTATACAATTACAGATTAAAGCCCATTATCTTTTGGCCTTAAGAGCTCTGATTTGTGGCCCCTTAGAGCAGGGACAACCAGCACCCCGATGGGGACATCTTAATAGTACATCTTAACTAGTTTTGAGATCACTGCAAACATTGTATGAGCAGTAATTTCAGGGGTGTGCACACATTCTCTCTCTGTCTCTCTCTCCAACAAGAGTGCAACAAGTGGCTATGAATGGTTTAAGTGAGGGATAACAGTATTTGAACTTATTGCCTTCAATCAATATTTTAAGTGAGACTTTAGGCAATGAGAAGCAGCATCACTCTTTGAAGTGAAAGGGAATGCAGGCTTTTGTGGTTTTGGATATTTTAGTATACAGTGTGTTCCCTGTAACACAAGTTCCTCGAGCAGCTGTTAGCTCCAAGACAGGTTCCCTGACTAAGTCTGGATAACATGAGCCGCCCAAAGTTAAGAAGGGTTCTCTTCGGAAGGAGTTCTCAGAGCCCTCAGAAGGATAACGTGCACGGGGAACCTTTAAGACGAGTGTGGGGTACGCAGTATTTCCCCGAGCTTGGAAGCCTGGTGTTCTGTCAGGGAACTTCAATTCTGCGGAATACATTTTGGATAACACAGTATGATTCTTCTAATACCAAAATAAAGATTAAACCCAATTTTTGTAAAAACAACACGAGTAATTCTGTTTACTGTATATGCGCTTCTTGACTAAATCAGAAGACCTTCTCAAGTCCTTTCAAGTGGAAACAGTCCCCCACCACCTTCCCCTTCCTGCGCTCCCCTCCTCCCCTCAAGAAAACCTTTTGCCAACAGCAAGGGCACCACACCTCCCTGGCTGCGACTGCCCAGCCACACCCTGCGCTCCCTGAGGCAGCCTCTTGAGCTCGTCCTCAGCCTGCAAATCTCATTTTGCAAACCTTGCATGTCATTCCCGGCCACAGTGAGAGGAAGAACTGAAATATTTGGTCTCATAGGAACATGTCCTCTGCACTGGCCCCGTGTTTCCTATTTATTCTCTAGCACTTCGTGCCAACGAACTACCGAAACAAATGTCAAAGCAAAAGCTGAGCTTTAGAAATTCAGTTTGTCATTTCTTTCTCACCCAGAAAGCAGGCTTTGCAGTCTTAGAGGTTTTGTGATTGAACACCTACCCGTGCTGTTCGGTCATCATAGTCTTCGTCAGACATGAGGAAGTTACAGAGGCCCCTGGTGGGGATGCTCGTGTTTTCTGTGATCCAGGTGTGCAGGTACACTTCTCCTAAGACTCGCTTCATGTGCTCCCTAGTCAAGTGCATTTCCACAGCTTCGATTTTCCCTTGGATTTCAAGGAGCTTCTCTTCTATCGGCTCCTGGCCTCCATCTCCAGACTGGGTCAGGGTGTCATCTGTGGAGTCCTCTGGGTCCCCTTCTTTGCGCCTCTCCTGAAGGCCTAGCTTAGTCACCTGTCTGGAGGAAGTGCCTTCGTCTTGCTGTTCATCCTCGGCGATGCCCATCCCAGGTGAGTCAATTAGTAAGATTTTTGAGTCCTCAGGGTTGGGTTTCCATAAGGCTTCTGAAGGGGTTTTCTGCATTGACTGATATAAAATCCTCAGGAGGAAAAGTTTGAAGCGCCAAAAATAGGTGGCCCCACTGCTTTCAATCTTTTTTTCCAAAGCTTCTTGTAAGAATTGAGGGATAAGTTTATATTTTAAAATCTTCCAGCGAACTAGATCTATTAAATCTACCTGCTTGAAGAGATTCTGAACCGAAGATTCCAGGAGCTGAGCAGCTGCCTCTTCGAAGGTTTTGAGAGTGACGAACTGGACCTGGTAGTTCTTGTTGACAGGATGGAGGCCGTTGACCATGCCCTCGGTGGTGATGACAGCCAGGTACGCGCCGCAGGGGCTCACCGCGATCCCGTGTGTCCTCACCGAGCCAAACACATCTGCGAGTTTAATCAGCTGGTGCTCAAATTTTAACGCGACATCGGTGAAAATGGGAATCAGCTGCCTCACCTTCCCGTCACTGGAGCACGTATACACGGTTCCATTCTGCTTGTCTGCAGTCATGGAGACAATGGGCAGCGAGTGAAGGCCTGTGACGTGGGAGTTGTGCACATTCAGACCCGCTTTGGAGATGAGAAGCAGACACCAGAACACATAGGGCCCTCTGGCAGCCACCACCAGGCTACAGCTGCATTTCTGGTAAGGGTGGTAAAGCGGGACACATTTGATGCTATGCACTGGCAGCTGGTCCATTTCTTTCCACAAGAGCACAGGCTGCCGTAAAGTGAAATAGCCTTTCACTGCTTTGAGGTTGACAGGGAGAATTTTCACAGGTCCAAAAGCACTGCCCACAATGAGGCCGCTCATTTTCCGATTACTGTGCTCATATTCCCACCAAGACAAGACACTAGGGGAGTTGATTCCTGACTCAATCGTGTTGCATGAGGAGATGGAGTCCTTGCCTGCAAACGGTAGCTGAAACTGCCACACTGCAATGTCACCGTTTTCAAAGAGAACTGCCAGGAGCACGCTGCCCACGTCACGGCACTCGTTGTTATGCTTGACCTGCTGAGTGGTACAGATGCCCGACCACTCCATTCGAACTGCTGTCTGCATGCTGTGTCTCCTCTGAAACTCGGAAAAGTCCTCCAGATCCACTTCCGAGTCCTCATTTTCTGAGAGCCCGTAATTGTTCTCATAAAGACGCTTTCCATAAATCTCAGTCAGGTCGACCAGCTGGACCCACTGCAGTCTGTTGAGGTTCGCCTGGATGGTCAGGCGATTGTCCATGGTCAGGGCTGCCAAGAGGCATCTGCCATTGGCATCACAACCCATTGGGGACCAGCTAGTGTATTTGAATCCTCTCATTGGTGGCAAAGCCTTCCCCTCAGGGTTGAACACCCGATCCAACATGAAAGTCTGACTGACGGTGGGGTCTGTAGAGGTGGCAAATTGCTCCTTACATTCAGCAACTTCTGCTTTTGAGCCAACCTGAAAATAAGAGATATGAAAACTATCACACAAATATTTCTCTCTAGGAATATATTTATGTACTTAGGGTGTATTCACTGGTTCACATTAATATATACAGTAATTTTGTATCGATTCTGTTAATTTTGGTATGACCTGAATTTAAAAGATCAAGTACATGTCTAAAAGTAAACGAGCATTTACTTAGAAAATGGCGATTTAATTTTTAAAGGATCAGGATAAATGTTCCCATTATTCATAGCCTGGTTCCCACCTTCTTCTTAGAATTGACATAAACAATAAGGCTGATAGAGGTGTACTTAATTTCTAAGAATCAACAGATCATTTGGCCGAATCAGTCACAAACCAATAAAGGTGTTAAAATTCATAAAACTATACATTTTTTATACCATTAGGTATTTGGATTTTTACAATATCTTTGCAATATAAATACAAACTTTGTTTCCTATCTGAAATTTCATTTACAAATTATGCTGAAAGCCAACTCCAACTGCTTTGTCCACTGTTTCTATAATGTCCACTCCAACCAGCGTATCTGCTATTCCGCGAACACTCCGGCTCCTACCTTCCCTGTCTCTCTGCCTAGAATGCTATTTCCTCCTATCCAAATCCCACCTGTGCTACCAGGCCTTCTGAGATCTTTCTAGCTTGCATTCATCACTCCCTCCTTCAAGTCTGTTATATACTTCATCAGTGCTATTTACTTAGTGCCCAGCTGTACGATGGCAAGCTCTTTAAAAAGATTTTAAAGGGACATTAAAGATGGAGGAAGAGATAAATGACCAAAAGAAAGAAAACAGGGAGCCTAAAGCCGAAAAAAAAGCAGAGGTCAACTAATATATGGTCACTGTTATGTCCAAAGCAATAAGAAGGACTTGACCTGCTGTGTTAGAGAAATGGGCATCACAGAAAGAAAGCAGAACCTTTCGATCCCTTTTTAGTGTCAATCTCCTTTTACATAGAAGCTGATCTTTAAACTGAAAAGGGTAGAAAAACATGATTAAAAAGGAATTCAGGGGCCGGCCGAGTGGCTCAAGGTGGTTAAGAGCACAAGCTCTGAACAACAGGGCTGCTGGTTCGATTCCCACATGCACCAGTAAGCTGTGCCCTCTACAGCTAAGATTGTGAACAATGGCTCAACCTGAAGCTGGGCTGCCGTGAGTGGCCGGCAGCCAGCGTGAGCGGCCGGCAGCCGGCGTGAGCTGCCAAGAATCACCACGAATGGCCATCCAATGGCAGGCAACCGACTGCCTCAGTCGGGAAGAGCGCAACAATGATAATACCAACATGGGCCAGTGAAGTGACGTCCTCCACAACTAGACTGAAGAACAAAAGGACAGCAACTTGTCTGTTCCCCTTCCCCAATTCCCCAATAAAATCTTGGAAAAAAAAAAAAGGAATTCAAGCCTAAGACATATACAGATATAATAAAAGTCACTTTAAAAGAGTTTGAGGGAGGGCCGGCCGAGTGGCGCGATGGTTAAGAACTCGCTTGGGATGCCAGAGGGCCCCGGTTCGGATCCCACATAGGAGGGCCAGTGACACTGCCCTCCACAGCTAAGATGCGGAACAACAGCTCAACCTGGAGCTGGGCTGCCATGAGTCGCCGGCGGCGGCGTAGGCTGCAGCCCCTGTGGCAGTGGGTTGCCATGGGCTACCGTGTGTAGCCAGCAGCCAGCGTGAGCGGCTAGCAGCCGCAGTGAGCGGCCGTCCAGAAGCCGGCGACTGATCTGCCTCGCCTGGGAAGAGCGCAATGATGGTGCCAACTTGGGCCAGTGAAGCAACGTCCTCCACAACTAGATTGAAGAACAAAACGACAGCAACTTGTCTGTTCCCCTTCCCCCAATTCCCCAGCGCTGTTCCCCTCCCCGCAATTCCCCAATAAAAATCTTTAAAAAAAAAAAAAAAAAAAAGAGTTTGAGGGGCCAGCTGAGTGGCTCAGTTGGTTAAGAGCTGGCTTGGGATTCCAGAGGGCCCCGGTTCGGATCCCACATATGAGGGCCAGTGACACTGCCCTCTGCAGCTGAGATGCTGAACAGCAGCTCAACTTGGAGCTGGGCTGCCATGAGTCGCCAGTGATGGCGTGGGCTGCAGGCCCTGCTGCAGTGGGTTGCCATGGGCTACCGTGGGTAGCCAGCAGCCAGCGTGAGCGGCCAGCAGCTGCAGTGAGCGGCCGTCCAGAAGCCGGCAACTGATCTGCCTTGCCCGGGAAGAGCGCAGTGATGGTGCCAACTTGGGCCAGTGGAGCGACATTCTCTACAACTGCACCGAAGAACAGAACGATGGCAGCTTGTCTGTTCCCCTTCCCCCAATTCCCCAGTGCTGTTCCCATCCCCCAATTCCTCAATTAAAAAAAAAAAAAAGGGTTTGAGTCCCAAGCCCAGAGGAATTACACTCCAGGCCACAGAAAGAACTTGGAGGAAGATGTTGCACTCAGGACCACTAACTATTGGGTTGTCAGGAAAGTCATGACGTATTTTGTCTATGTTTTTCAAAGGTGATATATTTATATAAAGAACAAAGATCAATCAATGATCTATTGCCTGTTTTGTTTGATAACCTTTTGCTATCTTTCAGTGAGCTTCGTAATTCCTTGTTCATAGAAGGACCTGTCTTTATTTGTGAAAAACTGAACAAGCTGCTGATTTACAGCCTCATCTGAATTGAACGTTGTACCATGCAAGGAGTTTTGAAGAGAGCGAAACAAGTGGAATTCTGACAGCGCAAGGTCAGGTGAGTATGGTGGGTGCGGCAACACATCCCATCCAAGCTCCAATAATTTTTGACGGGTGATCAAACTTGTCCGTGGTCTCGTGTTGTCGCGATGGAACACAACTCCCTTACTAAAATTAACAAGCTCTGAACGTTTCTGGATGATGGATTTGCTCAAACCGTCCAATTGCCGACAGTACACATTCGAATTGATCGTTTGGTTCCTTGGTAGTAACTCGAAAAACACGACACCTTTAAAATCCCACCACACTGAGAGCATAACCCTTCTCTGATGAATGTCTGCTTTCAGTGTCGTTTGAGGCGAATCATCACATTGGGACCAAGGCCGTTTGTGCTCCACATTGTTGTCAACAATCCACTTCTCATCACCAGTTATCAGTCGCTTCAAAAAAGGATCGTTTTCCTCATGTTTAATGAGCATATTGCAGATGTTTATACGCGCCGTCAAATGAACTTCTTTGAGTTCATGCGGAACCCAAATATCGAGCTTGCTTATGTATCCCAGCTTCTTCAGGTGGTCGTGAACGCTTGAATGATGGATGTTCAATGTTTCTGCAATCTCTCATGTTGTGTAACGTGGGTTTGACTCGATCAATGCCTTTATTTTGTCGTCACCAACCTCGGTGCACCTCCCTGACCGAGGAGCGTCTTTGAGATCAAAATCACCAGCATGAAATTTTGTAAACCATCGTTGGCACTGACGTTCTTGTAGAGCATTGTCACTGTAAACTTTATGCAACTTTTCACAAGCTTGACATGCGTTCTTCCCTTTATGGAAGTAAAACAGTAAAATATGGCAAAAATGCAGTTTGGTCTTCCATTTTCAACCTGTCGTAAAATCTCCAAAACTCAACCAAATCTCTCAGTTTGTTTTAGAATGAAGCTAGAACTGTCAGCTGTCAAATGACATAGCAATAACATAGATGCGTATGACTCTAGTACTTCCAAAAATGCACTAGTGCCATCTGTCACAAACATGCTTCATGACTTTTCCGACAACCCAATACATTCCTTGATAAAGCTTGGACAACTGGGAATGTGTTTTAGAAAGCCAGAGTGCAATAAAAATAGTTCTAAAAATATCCCCCAATGCTGAATAGGTAACAAAAACTACAGACCATTAAGCCTGACAGGAAATAAAATTATTTAATGTATTAACCAATGAACAGTTTGTGTAGACAGCAATGACCATTAGAAGCTAGCATAGGACAACTGTGAAAATCTGATCTTATTCTTTTTTCTGCTGAAACTGCTCAACGGCAGAATAAAGAAGCATATGAAATGAAAGGTAGTTGTCCAACACGTGAATCAGATGACTAACTCTTCTCAGTGTGTTACACAGAACACTGCTCCCCTAAATGTCCCTGAACAAGACTTCTCTACATCATTCCCCCAAAGAGTCCCAGGAGCACGTTACATGCCTCCGCCAGGGAGCTATCGTCGAGACATATGAACCAGATTCTCCAAGCTTTTTTAAAAAATACCTTTTGGGGGGTGTCACCCAAAAGAATACTCTGGAAATGGTGTCATAGGCAGTATAGCTTGATTTCAGAAAGACATTAAAGTAGTCTCTCAGATATACTTACGGACATGATGTAGACATACAGACTGGAATTCCAATTATAGGTGTGGCTGGGTAGCCTGCTGATAAAAGAATGCTAATCAAAGCCCAGGGCTTTGCATGGGTAGGTAAAATTTAAAATATGAATATTTTAAAATAATGAAGCCCAACAAAATGACTGAAAATCTGCTCTGATGCCAGACTGCCGAGGTTCAAATCCTGGCTGTATCACAGCTCTGGTACCCTGAACAAATTGCTTAAACTCTGCTCCTAATTTTCTCACTTGCAAAGAAAAAATAATAGTACATGTGTCACAGAATCAGGAAGGTTATATAAGTCAATATATGTCAAGCATACATTAATAAGTGCTCAATAAATATTAGCTATGATGATTAATAATACTCTCTGAGGATTAAGTAAATGCTAATGAGACCTAATAAAAGTACGTAAAATGCAGGGTAAATATAAAATTGTGCACCAATATAATATTGTAAATTAGAATAGGTGAATTTAGTACAAATAAAAGCTACTATAGAAGTATAAGTAAACTTACAGAATTTGTAACCCAAAGCAGCAGCACAGGATGAAATAAGTGAATCTCTAGCAACTCTTGGTCCCACTGACTGTAGGAAGAATTCCTGGTAAGATGGAGAGCAGAATGGATCTGGACCAGAAGGGAAATTCCTCATGGTTTTGTGTAGTCGTT